GTAGTAGAATTATTTTAGTAGTATTTAATATTAGATAAAAATTTTAAAAATTTCTAAGTTATTTTTCTTCGTTATTCGTCAAAGAATACGAACATTTACAATAAAATTTGTGTTCACATTCAAAATAAAAAACGGAATGTTTTGTCGTCAGTTTGCGTCGTTATTTATATGATAATCGGTTTTTTCGCTCTATCGGTATGCGTGAATTGCGTGTAAATTTAAGTTACATAAAAATCATGAATGAGAGCTAAAAGTTATTTTATTTGATCCCTATTTCATCCTCTCTTCACTATTATTACAAGAAGCTTAAAATAATAAAATAAAATTTATTATTTTTAAAATTTTATGAGCTTTCTGTTTCTTAGAAAATTTAACTCAATTTTATAAAATTTAATTTTAACTTTAGATTTAATTGTGAAATTCAATTGTGCATCACCAAATTTTTTATTAATTTTTAACAAAATTTAATGTCAATTCTAACTTTAATGAATCTTCAAATCTAAAACTTTCAATTCTATAAATGTTATTTTTTACAGCAATATTTAATTTTAACTTTTAATTTTCCTTAGCTTTATTGAATCTTCAACTCTCTATCATCAAATCAATCTTTTTGTTCAAAAATTTTTAACGAAACATCTTGAATTTCTACATTCAAAATTCTACATTATAAATTTTGTATCTCCTATTTTAAAATTTAATATCGACTTAACTTGTATTTTATAAAAACTTCATTTCATTTTATCAATTTCTTATTTCTAACAAAAATTCAATATTAAATCCAACATTTGTTTCAATTACAATTTTAAATAAGAGTTGCATAATAAAAATCGAGTAATTTTTCAATATTTTATGATACAACACGTGTATCAGCGAGTAGGTATTAAAAAAAACTCATAAGATGGAAGATTAAGTCGCAAATTTGTTATCGTGTCCTCATTCAAAATGGTCGTTGTCGCCAAAAGGGACGCGAGTTTGTTTCGTAATCGATAGCCTCCAACCGCGACACTAGCTCAATGTTGCGAGTTCAGTTGTTAAATCGTCATAATGACCCATTTTTCATGCAACAAATTATTCTTTAATCCTTTCCCGGATTGTAGGGACTGAATGTTTCCCCTTTTTATTTGAATTAATGATTCAAAGTAAGTTTAGTTATATAATTATTTCAAAATTTATTGAATTTTTAAATTACTTTATTAATAACAATAATTTCGTTGCATTTAGAAAAACTATTTAGAAGATTAAAAATGAAAAATCCGAAAAGGGTTGTTCCTCAATGTTTGTTTCTAATTATGAATTTTTTACATGAAAATTTGTAAATCTTTTATATTTATTATATTATCATCAAGTCAGATTTATCATAAGATGCGAAAAAAGAAAATATTTGTTATAATGTTTAGGAAATGGAAATATTTATTTGAATTACATTTTGTTTTTTTTTTTTTATATTCATAAAAATATAAATTTTATATATATATAATTATGATTTATGATTTATTAAATATAAACAATCATTATAAGATTTAAGATTGTATCATGCAAAAGTCTTAAGTCTCAAATTAAACATATTTATAGACAAATATTTCCATATATTATTACGTGTTACTTCTTTATCTTTAGTTTTCTGACTTCTTACACTAATAAAAATTTTTTCAGAAATATTGCAGTAAATCGAATTTATTTACGTTTGTTTTTCAACATATCATCAATTATCTTTTATTAAACTGTTTTCATTATATCGTGATTATTATGTCATCATTATGTTACGATTATTAAATATAATTATCCCTATACATACTATACATTTTCTTTTTAAATTCTAAAGTTCACAAACTATCTATTTATCTATCTGTTGCACTATACATGTAGTAGCATTATCATTCTACTACATTATTATTATATCATTCTATTATATATCATAGTATTCAACTATAATATAATGTCAAAAATAAATGAAGATAATTTCAATGTAAACAATAATACTTGATGCAATAAAAATAATTGATATTAATATAAAATATTTTTATTGAATTAAATATAACACAAAACAATATTTATATCTTACCTATTGAAATCAAGAACCGTTATTATATCATTCTATTATACATCACACACAGCATTCAGCTATAATGATAAGTGATATAATCAAATGTCAAAGTGAAGATAATCTCGATATAAACAGTAATAATAAAAATAATTGATATGTGCGATATTATGTTAAAATATTTCCATTAAAATAAATATGTATACAGGATAATAATCTTATTTGTCGAAATCAAAGAAATTCATAGAGATTAATCCACCTATCTCATATTAACCCGTACCATAAAAATTCCAGTTAGAGAAATCGAAAGCAAACCAAACCCAAGATCGAATCAACAATGCTCCATTCATCCGGTCATTCCAGGATAGTTATCGGTCGTCGAGCGTTAATTAGCAATCATTTTCGTTCAGCGTGCTACTTATGCAACGGTAGAAGAAAGTCAAGGTCACGAATCAAGAAACGGACGGAGAAAATCATTCAACCGACTCACCTTTTGATCGATGTGATCCCACTTTTCATTGTAAGGCCGCCTTTCTTCCGTCATGATACAACGTCACACGAGTCGACGGTCGCACGTCGATGGAACGGAGAGAAAAAGATGGGAATAATTTTTTTTCTCTTCCTTGAAACGCGAAGAGAACGATCGAAGGCGAGATACGAGGAGAACGAGGAGAGTCTAACGGGAGAAGCAATCTCGACGTCCCTCTAGAGATCACTAAAGACTTACATCACGCGATTCTCGAATTCTACATCGAATCTGCATCGTGGCTAGAAATACAAGCGACTCGCGTGCGAACCAGGTGTATTTTAGGCGAGGCGAACCAAGCGAGCCGATTCGTCGACAACTGAGGTTTCTTTCGTCTATGAACGATGATTATGCATTCATTGAATAGATATTTTATTTTGGTTATAAAAATATATACAGATTCTTGATTTAGAATTCACTGAGAATTATTTATTATATATTTATATATGTACATATATATATATATGTATATATATATATTTTTTTGCTTATTTATTTTTTAATTTATAAATGTTGAATGAATTAAGCAAGTATTTTATATAATGTATAAAATATAATGTATATATAAATGTATCTATTACATAAAGTAAGTGAATTGTCAATTTGTTATTGATCACAAAGAGATTTTTTTTTCATTTATGATTATTATGTATTTAGCAAATAGGAATTTTATTTAAATTATTGAATTATATTATATACATTTTGCCTATTGAATTTTTCATTAAAATTTTTTCTATTAAAACGATTGAGTGAAATACATTAATAATATACATAAAATGAATGAATAATCAAAAATTAAATCAAAATTAAAAAATTACGTGAATTGTCTTAAACAATCGAGATCTTTTGTTCTCTAAATTACAAAATAATTCCCAATCAATTTTAAATAATTTTTTTATTGCTTATTTGATCTCTAAAACTCAGCTCAAAATTTTAAACTGTAATGTACATTAAATATGTATAGTATTTAAAATATTGTGTATGCATTTTATTTTGATCATAACTAATACGATATTATGCTATACAGAGTCAAACATAGCCACATAGTTGTAGACTTCATTGAAAATATGTATATATCATATATACATTTACAATTTAGATTTAGTTTAAATCTTTGAACTTGAAGACTAAAGCTTTTAAGAATTCTCTTACAGCAAAATTCGAACTTAGAGAATTCTAGAATTTATGGTTTTCAATCATTTTTGTAAATCATTTCAACAATATTAATTTGAATAAATTCTATCGAATAGCGAAGCTTTTTCGAATGAAAATAGATTACTAATTATTTCGAATATTTTTTTAAAATAAAAATAAATTCTAATAATTTAATCAATTAATTAAGATAATATATATATATATATATATTATATTATATTAGTGATTGGCATTTCCTTGTACATTACAGCTTATATCTTTTTTTATAATATAAATGCTAATAAATATTTAAGTTGTATATATATTTGCGCAATCTCAAGCGTGAAAGGATTAATGATGAAAGAAGGTGCAATGTTTTAAAGACAGATAATAATAGATGATACTTCTTCATTTCATATTTTAAAAATGTGCATATCGTAAGAAATGATTTTTATTTTACAATTCTTTTCATAGTCTCGCCATTAATTATCACATCTTTCAAGAATATTATTTTTGGTGATTAAAAAAACAAATATATGAAAAAAAAACATGATTTCGGTAAATTAGCAGTTATTGATCGAGTAATTTTCCTTATATAAAGTCCCTTGAAAAATTTTATATATTATGATAGTTACCTGGATAATTTCTTATAACAAAATTGATTAACAAGCAATGTCAGGATGGCCGAGCGGTCTAAGGCGCTGCGTTCAGGTCGCAGTCCACTCTGTGGGCGTGGGTTCGAATCCCACTTCTGACAAATATTTTGTACATTCAAAATTATAATGAATTGTTATGAAACTGAGCAAATAAGGAGGCATTTTATTATATTTTTCATATAACATTTTCACAAAATTTTACTATATTTAAATAAAAAAATGCAGAAGAAAGCAAATAGTGATTATTTAATTAGTTGTTTAATTTATATTTACGTAATATTTTAAATAAATACTGTAAATAATTTAATACTTACAGTTATCATAAAATATTGACATCTTATTATAATGTTTATTCAAATTGATTTAATATTATATAAAATTTATATATATATTTTTTTATATATTCGTAAAAAATAAATAGTTTACTGAAAGGTTATTGATAAAAGTCACTGAAGAAAATATTTTTATTTTCAAATTTAAATTAATTTTCTCGTTTCCTGAGATTACACATGAGATTCATAATATTTCCTGTCACATACAAATTACATTAATATGATTATGAGTTAGTATGTGTACATTTTGTTCTTAATTTAGAAATGATATAAAAAATAATATATATGTATCATATACAAATTTAATTTATAATAAAAGAATTAAAAAGACATAAATGAATATGTAAGCAATAAAAAATTTTTATTTTGATTTTCGATTGTTTATCCAGTATATTAAATGATTTTTTATTTTGATCGAAATATGTGAAAGAATTTGAATTTTTATATTAGTGATTTTATAAAATTCATATTTGTAAATTATATCATAATCTTTGTATTGTATAATCAATAATTATAGAATTATTTTAGTAAAAGATTGATTGTGATATAATGTGTATAATGTCAACACAAATATTGTAAAACTATTTTAATTTTGACGCATTAACTGACAATCGTAACAGTTCCATAGTGGAAATATTGTGTTGTAAAATCTTTTTAAATTTCTAATCATTATCTAAATTTACTCTAATATTACAATAAAAGAACAATATGAATTATTGTTACAGATATATGTGTAATGCAGCAAATCTACAAAATATAACAATAGAAAATACAAGCATAATTACAAAGCGGATAATATTTAATTGTCAACATGGCGGATAGTGATTTTCTCATTACAATTTCAGGTCCCGCTTTGTCATTATTGTTTTACGAAAATGTTCGTAGTAGCGGGGATCAGGTGAGAAAGTTTTTTCTCTTTTTTGCTTATTATTAATAATTTTGTATTTTAATGATGACAATTCGAATTTAAATCATGAAATCTAACATTTTAACCTCAATAAAATCTAACCTTATAAACAGGGAAATTAAAAACATTGGAAAAAAATATATTGATTCTCTATATTTTAGATGGGCTTTTTACTAGGAGAAACACTTGAATTTCATATAAAAACATATACAGATTTAGATAATCAAGTAGAAACAGTAAAAATATATAATAGTAAGTATACTTGATTGTTTATATTTCATTGGCACAAATGTTTTTAGCTCTACAATAATATTTTGACATTTCTAGACATTGAAGCTGTTGTAACTTGTCCATTGCCTCATACTTTACATAATTCTCTTGGCAAAATTAATAAAGAGAAGTTAAAGGATTTTTTACGTGACAAGAGTAAACAAGTGATAGGTTGGTTTCATTTCAGGCGAGATGTAAGCTTGGTGCCTACATTCAGGGATAAATTATTACATAAAGAATTTGCTTCGTATTTTTGTAATGACAATGGTTCTAAAAATGAGTTTTTTGTTACTTGTTTGTTAAGTTCTTCAACAAGTAATGAAGGGGGAACTTATAAATTCAAACATGTCTTCTTAAGACATAAAAGAGGGTATGTTTTTCAATTAAATTTTTATATATAATGCTTTTTTAAAAATTTCATTTTTGTAAATAATTTGATTACAGAATATTTGAACCAGTTCCTTTACGGATAAGTAATTTAGGAAGTAATTCATTTGCACATGAAGGTTCAGATTATAAACCTACTCCTACTAAAAAATCATCTGATGTTCCAGATATATTTACTAAATTTATAGAATCATTAAAGTAAATAAGTAATAAATAATATATATATTATATTATAATATAATAAGTATATATGATATATTTATATAGAGATACTTATATAAAGAGAAATTTGAAATTTTTATATTAATATTCACTTATATATTAGAATATATCATTGAAAAATATTTTTTATTAATTAGAACTATTTACTTTTAGTTTGGATTTAACAAAGACATCTGCAGTTGAATCTGCTATCAGTATACAAAAAGCAGCTGAGCAACATTTGAGTCAATTAATACCAGAATTATGTAAATCTGATCTTGAAGTAGCAGAGCTTGAAAAACAGGTTAAGGAATTTATGTTTAGCAAAAAAGCAAAAGTTAATGGTAGTCAAACTTATGAAGTTAAAAAAGATGAAATTAATGAAGGAAAACTAAAATCAGAATCTTCAGATGAATCTTCAGATGATACTTATCAGGAATGTCGAACCAGGAATGTAGATCCAGGAATGTTCAAGGAACATTCTATTGCAACTGTATGTATATGTAACATTTGAATTAATTTTGTTTGTTTATAATAAATTAATATATAAATAATTTTGTATATTTTACATACTTATTTAATTATTATTTTATTTCAGAGTCAAAGTACTCATAAACTTAGAAATACAATGTATATTGAAAAGAATATTAATCAGAATAAATTAAGAAAATCATCTACCACAAGCATAATAAATAGTCCGAATCAGGAACCATCATCACTTCTAAATTCAGAAATGACAGAAAATATATTTAGTAAAAGCAAACGTCTTTCTAATATAGAATCAGAAATTGTAAAAGAATCAATTTGTAAAAGTGATACAAATATGAGTGGTGTTGGAAGAGGTAGAGGCAAATCAATGCAAGATGTTATTCAGGATTAAAAAAAGCTAAAAGGACTTCAGGCTCAGAATCATCTGAGACAAACAGTGTACAAAATACTTCTTTGCAAACATCTTATAGTCAAGTAACGAAGAAAAAGGTAGACAATGTTCGTAAATTGGATGTAACAGATAACCATTAAATAAAAGTGGTTCTTATATCTTTAGTTCACTTCAAAAGCTTTATAACAACATATTTAAATTTTGGAACATTTCCTGTAAAAAAAAAATCAACAAAAATTTTAGCGTTTGTGCTACATTTATTATGTGTGTGGTGCAATGTAAATATTTATATATTTTAAAATATAAACTGACCATATATTGTATAATATGCAAGATCATGGTCCGTTTCTAGTAAATTTTAATCTTACAAAGATATAAAAAACGGTATTGTATCATGTTCATCAGTATCGAATTTGTGTATTATATAAAGTGGAGAGGCATCATAGACTGAAGTACCGATTAGGTTTTAATACGCATCCTTCAGAAATTTTATATTTAAAAAGTATACTATCATTCACATTACTTTTTGTACTATTTTAATAACAAATCTATCCAAATATATTTGCAATACTTTATATTTTTAAATTAATTAATGAAATTCAAAAAAAAGAATAGTTTTTTTCTTTTTTTTTAAGTTGTGCCATTATATTTTTAAGTATTTAATAAATACTTAAATACATATAAAATAAATACAATGGTTTGCATCTTTATTCTTATAAATAACATATTAATACATGTATTAAATACTTGTAAATAATTAAAAATTTCATAAATTTTTTTTTTTTTAAATATTATAATGTAATATAAGATATTCGCGCAATAATATAGAACTTCACTTTTTTTTATTTTTACACAAGTATTTTAAAGGAATGTTATTATAGTATGTCAGCTGGATTATTTGGAACACCTGTAACTTCCCATATTGTTGCTGCAAGTCTTCTTGAATGTTCTAACACACATGAAGATGTTGCCAATCCAAGATGAACACAATAAAGTTCATAAATTCTGATTTTATTGACAGATAGTTTAGGAAAACATGTCTCCGCTAGTTTTCTAATTAACAAAATTGTATAATACATAAAACATAAGTCATATAAAAGCAAATATTTAAGTACAAGTAATACAGACCTATAATAATCGCCACAAATTATTCCTGGTATTGGAAAATTTTTCATTATATGATTCAAATAAACTTTATATTTTAATGGGGATCCCTAAAAAATACATAATAATAATAATATCAATGCTATGCTTCACACTTTAAATTTGTTTACTTACAGAACTATCTTCAAACCATAAAAAATAAGCATAATTAAATGTTGTATCCTTCCACATAACTGATAAATGTCCTTCTTCTAAGTGTATTCTGCTTTGTTTAACCATATTCCATATCTACAAAAGTAAATTTTTAAATAATTCATTAATTTTTAATTTTCAATAAATTACCTTTTTTGTTGTAAGAGCAAGAGTTTCAGGATTTGTGAAGTCTAATGTTGGAGCAGTCAATCTGTGAGTGATTCTATCTATATAGATAAAATGCACAAGGCCTGGAAATTCTTCTAGATATTTGTTGATTGTTAGGGAAGTTCTCGTAGATTACATGGCATTAAGGAGGTATATTTAATTTATTAGGGAAAATAAAAAAATAATGCAATATATATATACATATATATAAGTAGTTACGAAAGGATATGATCCAAGAGTAAAATTTTTCAATGCTTTTACTTTAAGAAAATCGCTAAAATCGTTTAATTTTTGTCGAACGAGTTTTCCTACAGTTGTAAGTACATCAATACCTTGTTTTAAAAAATTTTTATCGAAACACGTTAGTCGATATAATTCTTTCAAATTATCCATAAATCCAGAGGTATTTGATTCAATTTGAAGAATAGATTCTGGATCTCGGGATTTTAATAAATCTATGTATTTTTTTCGAACGAATTCCCATTTTGTCTGCAATCTTCTTTGACACATATCAACATCATTACTGACATTAGCTCTATTTTTCTTAATTCCATCTAATGCTTTTTTCATTGCTAAATCAAAATTTTCAAATGCTGGTCTTAGTTCATCGATATCTCTTTGGAGTTGTAAACCATTTATAATATTTAAATAATGGAAACTATCGTATAATCCTGATGACGTGGCAAGATTAGTAATTTCTACTATCATTATAAGATTAATACCATCTGCTAATTCAAAAATGTGAACTGCATTAGCTGTATAATCATGCTCAGTTCCAAGTAAAATTAAATTACTATACAATTCATCATCCATTAATGAATAAAGACCTTCATTGATAGAAGATTCTCTTGATCCTCCTATAATGAAATAACATATTAATATATAATATTATGACAAATAAATATTTTATAATAGTAAAAACCATACTAAATAAATTTGTAATATCTTCTGAAGTAGGATTTGCAAGCTTTGTTCCAAAAGTTATTTGCTCCTCTTTAGAGGAACTATTTTCAGGTAAAAGAATATCAATGCAATCATCATTGTTGCTATTTACTCCAGATTGACTATCCCCTTTTCTTCTCTGATTAACTACCCAGCACATAAGCATCATCAATAATATATCAGAAGCATACAAATCATGAGCATTTTTACTAGAATACAATGAAAGAAATTTTTGTTCCACTAGTATCAAGATGTGTACATTAGAAAATTCAGATTGTGCTTTTAATTTATCACAAGCATCATGCAATACTTTTAGTATTGCTACACTTAAGTCCGTATTTATTGATAGCTGTTCTATTGCTTCTGTAAGCATACTTTGTTCGCAATTTCTTAAATGCATCCATGCATCTAATAAACTAGAAACTAAACAGACTTTCTGTCTGTTTACCTTTAATCTGGAATTAAATTATTTGTTATATCATATTTTTTATTATAAACAATTTATCCAAATATTATTTTAACTTACACTGCAACGTCTGGTCCACAAACATGCCTTACGATTGCCACATACACTCCTAATGTTCTTTTCATTAATTCTACTTCATCCATAGAAATATAAATGAAAGTGTATCCCATAAATTCATCAAATACCATATTTGTACCATCATGACATTTCATTGAAGTATAAGAATTTCCAAACTGAGAAGCCATTACATGTTGAGATGTAACAATAGGTGAAAATAATTGCATTATGATATTTGGATTTAAAATTGAATCCTTATTATTTACATCCTGTATAAAACATATAAAAATACATTAATAATTTTATAATATTAATTAATATCATAAACTAATGAAAATTATAATGATTAAAAATTTTTTCAAGAAAATATTCATAAAATTCAAGTAGTACATATTTTTTATATTTTATATTTTTATTATTATCAAATAGTATATTTTTTAAATTTCAAATATAATATTATAATTTCTTGATTATCACATAATATATTATAGAAATCTTGCACTTTATACAATTTAAATTTTGTAAAAAATTTAAAAAAACTTACCTTGATTTCAGAAATCAATCCTTGAATTTTAGCTAATTTTTGTATATGATTTGCAAATTTTTTATTACATTTCATAAAAAGAACATCATTCAAATGATCGAAAATTAAAATACCCTTCATTTTATAATTTAATACTTTTACCACTTTGTGATGCTATTAATCGATATTTATAAATACATTAATATTTATATTCGTACTAATTCGATTTATGAAATCATTATCAAATATCAAGTAATATCAAATAATTATTTAATATTTTAAATTACATATATCTAATCATTTCAATGACTTTTCGTATACGACTGCTTTTAATGGAACTTGCTTAATTAGATTTGCAATATAAAAATACAGACGATAAAGTTGATTATCTACTTTATGTATTTATGTCGGCTTTCAATTCTACGCTAGATGTCCCTTAGTTGAAGATTGTTCTGCGCATAATTCGAATATACGTACATAAATATTTTATGATTTTATCAATAATTTTTTAAAATTTGTATAAATTTTACATCTTATTTTTTAATACTTAAATATTATTAAAAAAATTTTTTATATTACATTAATCTTAATTAAAAAATTTATAAGATAAATACTATTAATATATATGTATATATATAACAGCGAATAATTTTTTATTTATTTGATAAATTGAAAGTAGAATGAAATTGAGATAAAATCCAAAATGAAAAATAGTATAAATACTGATCATCTATATGATTATCTATATGGTGACTGGATTTAATATACTATTATTTCGATTTACAAAATAAAATAATCATTTTAAAAAAGAAAATAATACTTACCATTATATAGTTGCATAAATAAAACTATCATTTAATTGTAATATTGATATAAGAATATTTTTCATTTTTATCAAGAAATATATTCTTTGAAGAGGTTAGAAAAATTTTAAGAAAATGTAAAGATATAAAGAATCAAACTTTTATTTTGATAAAAATTCAAATGAACAAAGATTTGTTTTAGTAATTATTTGCACAGCACACACACATAAAATTTGAAAAATTGATTTAACAAATGACAACAACTGCAAGAAATTTAAATAAATACTGTACAATATTAAAATAAAATTATTATTTTTTAACAACAAGTAACATATATTTAGTTTTTTCCATAATTTGAAAAATTTATATCATTTTAGTAAAATCATGCCTTGGTTTTGAACTAATTAAATACAAGAATACAATTATTAAAATTTTTTTTTACGAAGTGCTTTTTTTAAATAAAAAAAAATATATATATATAATATGAAGATTCATATAAATACAATAAACTCTTGATTCTAAAGATTAATAGAACAACAGTAATTATTTAAGAGTTGAAACTTTCAAGTCAATATCAAAGTTATAAAAAAGATCATAAAGATTATTAAATTTAAGATTTATAAGATTTTGGCTCCATAAAATCGAGAGTTTATTACAATGTTCAACATCATTTTCCAACAAAAGTAACTTCAGCTCACTTAAATAGAAATAATATTTGTATCTAACTTCACCATTATTAATTATTCAACACTCGAATTACCCGAACAAGTATTCATTTAATATTCCCTTAAAAGTGACAACACAGTCCTCAGTATATATGTTATATTCGACTAGATTATATTATATAGGTCTCTCTACTAA